CTTATGCAGTCACCGTCAAATATAAACAGACTCCAAATAGCCTTTACTCTTTCGTTTTACTTGATTTCCAGCAATCTGTGTTTCATCTCTCATCAACAAAGCAACTTTTACGAGGCCCCTCGTGTAATTCCAACTTCCTCCTTGAGAGATTCCCTCCCTTGACCTTTCACCTGTCCTGAAATCTTTTACTAACCCTCTGCCTTTTCAGATAAAACAAGGTCACCTTCATCTGCCCTTTCTGATATCCTCTTACAAAGCATCCACTATTAACATAAGACATGTGCATACCTAAGATTTTCCTGCTGATTCAATTATAATGCAATGCTATGGATTCTGGGGAAGTTATTTTTTCTTTTCCATCAAAATGTATTTCTAAACACTTATATTGTCTTGTTCTGTGATTTAAAACCTCAATCTACATGTAATGATACTCCTAGTAATTAATAATAAAATCAACATCAATGAAAAGCATTTAGTCTACTGAAGACTGTGCGCAATGTCTATTTTAAGTTGCATAAGTGTTAAATGTTTAAATTCTTTTATATGTTTTTTAAGGGATAGTTCACCCAAATTGTGACTTTATCTCACAAGTCTGACCTTTTTATCTCACAATTATGACCTTTCTCTCAGAATTGTGACATAAACTTGTTATAAAGTCAAAATGGTGAGGTTTTAACTAGAAAAAATAGAACTCTAAGATAAAACATTTTGTTTTTTTTTATTATTATTATGTGACAAAACATAAGTTAAAAAAAAAAACAATTCACTATACTATTTCCACATGTGAGCAAAAAATTGAAACTATAATCTGCTTCCACTGATTAGATCAAGACTGTGAGGAGGAGACTGTGTCCTTATCTGATGCATTAAACTGGATACTATCTCTGAAATTAATGCAAATAATTAGGAAATCCAGAGCATTGCAATACGAGCATTTTTCAGCATCAGTTACATTCATATAGACAAAACGTATAGAAATGAGTGCATATATACACTGCTGTCTCCTGGACTACTCTTAAAGGAATTTACACTAATTTTGCTGTAGCAGTGCTTTGCATAACCAAGTGCCCTTTAACAATGTGAGGAAGATTCTGTGAATCTACAGCATTGGTCCTTGACATTGAGCACAGTGTAATGGTGCATTCTCAAAACGTGAGCACCAGGACATCATGGTTTGCTGGGAGAGCGTGGGGTAAATGCTCCTGATGCCTCAAGCATGGTCTTCCTTCGTGCAGTCTCCTTAGCAACATTATGGTTCAACCTCCGCAAACGTTCCTGAAACAAACATTTGAGATAATGAAGTAGAAAACACAGGGCAATAATGTGCATGACTGATGTTTTAACATCTGTGTCTTTTACCTGTGCATTCTGGAGTATGTTATTGACAAGCACCACTCTTCTCCTGGCATTAAGAAGTTTTTTAACATATGGGTCTAAGTCTAGTGCCACCTTCTGGTGTTCGTTGATCCTACACAACTCTGTAGAAGAAATGTGCACAAATAGCATTCATGAGATGATTTAATTTAATATTCATGAATTCTGCAGAAATTGTTCTTACATTATGACAAAAGAGTCGTAATCATAACACGTTGCATTGACTAATTTTCATACCTTTCTTCTAACAGTCATATTTTCTCTAAAATCTAAGTGAAATAGTCACAACTGTTTTATGGGACATCACAACTCTATCGCACATCTGCAAAATGTAATAACTCACCCAAAACAATTCATTCATGCTTCAGCGGAAATTGAACAACGCCAGCAAAATGAATCTTTATGTATCATGTGAGCCACACTGGTCAAAATGTTTGGATGTTTTTGTTGACAAATGACCACTTACTGTACAACATTTCAATACAAGAATGTATGTTTTGTCTAACTGAATAATATTCTGTAACTGTATCACGTTGAGCTATTCAACAGATTTCAACAGTATGTAAAAGTTCACTGGGAAAAGTTAAAATTGTAAACTGGAAATTCACAATTGCAAGTCCATTTCTACACATACCCTATATGTAGCTAACCTACTACACATACTGAGAAAAGAAAAAGACATCCAGGCAAGCTCTGGCTATGCTTCAAACATTGGTAAGATTGTGATTACCATTTAATTACTAAGGCAGGACATTTAAGCAGACATCACAATCATGCCATGTTAGAAATATTTGCATAATATACATGTATGACTGACCAATTTTTGATAACTTTGAATTGATCGTTTTGTATTTGATGGCTCACACAATAAATGAAGGTTTAGAAGTTGCGCAGATTATGACAGTTAGCTTTTAGCTATTGTGCAAATTGTATACTATGTTGCACAAATGTCAAAACACGCAATTTTCTTAAATGAATAAGAAATTCTAATTGGTGTTAACTAACATTCACCAATTGTTAAGAGATTTTTTGTTTAAAAAACAACAACAATAACAAAAATATATCTTATTTGAGAATTAAACCAAAGCGACCGATAAAAACTCATAGAAAAACGGCATAATCACGTCATGACTTACCAGATGCCAAATTATCAATGTGTTCCCTAAGTTCCACTTGGCTTTCTCTGTGGAGATAAATTTGCAGGATATAGTGAACAATATAGCTGTCCATATTAATACACACTTTAAAAATAAATGACTATGAATCATATTTTAAATGCATAAATCGTGCGAAACTGCTTACAGTAACAAAGGAATAACTGTCATTGTTTTACATGGTCACACCGCATCTGACTCTGAGTCACAAGACCTGTCATGTTGACAGTGATTAGCATGCTAGCAAACAGAACTGCTTACTGTAAATTATACATTTCTAAGTTTTGGTTTCCCAAAATATAACGTTACTACCTGACTGAGTGCACATGTAAGTCAAGCTGTTGTACCGCAGGTCTCAAGAGGTCTAGCATTCCCTCCGCGAGCGCATCTTTCCCTGATGGGGTTTCCACAACCGCTAACGCTGCCATCTTTACTGCGATTTAATTTGACAGTCAGTGACTGCAACCCTGACTTTTGAAGGTGCATACCGCCACCTACTGTATCAGAGCATGTAACATAGAGAGAGAGAAATCTCCGAGTTTCCGTACAATCCACGTCACACATGGCTGTGTTCAAATCAGCGGTCACCTTTCTGTCTCTCTCTTGAAACCAAGTTAAGCTGCATTTTGCAATTCACTATGGTTCAAATGCAATAGCGTACCGCTGTACATACGACGCATTAGGCTATATTGTATGTAAAAAATAGTCTGACTTGAAACGTCAAGCAATGAATGAAATGTATGCTGTATAGCCTAGTATACACTCATAGTATTCTGAGTATACACTCATATTATACTGTGTATACATAGTATACACTTGTTAATCAATGATATAGATACAGTCTGTCAGTGCAGGGGTTTTTGAACTAGAATCCGTAAGGGAGTAGGCTGGGTCAGTTTAGAAAAAAAATAAGAAAATAATCATAATAATAGTTAGATAATAACTATATAAGGATTCAAAAATAAATGAATATTACATCAAAAGTAGGCTCCAGAACGAAAGAAAAAAAATGTAATGTAATAGAAACTAAATATTTTCAACATAATATTTTATATCACATTGTAAAATATACAATATTGGCTGACTTTTTTTTTTTTTTTTTTTTTTAATGGGAGTCCCTCGCGGAAAAATGGGGGGGGGGGGGGGGGTCCTATCATCCTAGACTAGACTACTATCTGAAACTTTTTTTTTTAAAGATAGTAAATCTATCTAACCCTAATCATTACCCTTGAAAAAAGATTATACATATATGCAAATTGTTGTCCTACCAAAAAAAAAAATTCAAACGAAAAGTTGATTTTAGTTTTCCTGTAGTTTAACATGGTTAAAACTTCAACTTTTACTTAAAAATGCTCAGAGTACCTCAATTAAATAGTTTCACCTGTACTTATATATACATTTAAGCTAAAATCTTAATGCACAAAGTCCATACCCTAGTTTTAGTATGGAAGTATGCTATTTGGAACACACCCGTTCACGCTTAAATCTCGCGATAAATCACGTAGTGCTCCATTTTCCGAACTCGCGCAGTTGTTAGCACCATTTTGTGATGAATGAGGGGAGGGTAGGCAGATAGAGTTGCAGATTAAAGTAGACTGGTGTTAAATAACCTATTCTGTGGGATATAGATTTGTTTTTAGTTCTTAAATATATTTAGAAGAGGGGCGATATTTATACAATTACAAAGTTTTGAGTACAAAGTTTTGACTAGGGATTTTGTCGAGTCAGTCTGCTGCTTCAGCGACGCGCTAGCCTCACAGCTAACAGATCTGCCCTGACTCAACTGCACGAGTCGTCCAGAGAAAAGGTAAGTTAATATAATTGAAACATACTAAATATGTCTTAAACATGAATGAATGTGTCATTAAATTGGTTAATATCTGTATACGAATAAGTTTTGCGTGAGTTACGGTGATATGACTAGGTTCGTGAACAGTCGGTTGTGTAAGTAACGCTACATTGGTTACATTGTACAAGTTACATTGAACCGGTAAATCTCGTTGTTGTTGTTTTATTGTATGAATTAATTAAGTGTTTTCAAACCAATGGTTCTGCTACACAACATATTTGGTAACGTTAATCATTTAACTTATACTGACAGGCTACCATCATGTTACAAACTGCAAATACTCTATAAATGTTTAAGTTAAGTCGGAGGTTTCAGACTACGTGGGTCCGATGATTGTTTAGAAGTAGATAGATCCATGTGTAATGAATTGTATGAACATTTATACTACATAAAAACCCATATAGATGGCGTTTAAATTCTAGGATGAGGGTCCCTCACACAAGAATGATCTCATTTGGGAGTTTGTGGGATCTGAAAATCAAATTGCTAGGTTTTAAAATACAGCCAATTTGTATATGATGTCAAGTCCTCCCCATTGACGTCCTTATGTCTGTCTGAAGCTTTCACTTTCATGCAGTAAAGATACCATACATCTTTATTCTACTGTTTCCCTCTACAGGAGAGATCCCTGCAAGTCTGAAGAAACATGACCGCCCCTTCTTCTCAAAAAGTTGTGCTGAAAAGCACCACCAAGGTGTCCCTGAATGAGCGGTGAGGCGCTACGCATCCTGACAGCATTATCTCAAGGCCGGGGGGAAAAGCATTCAGAGATAACTAAGGCATGAAGCCTCAAGACACGTGTACTATGGAGGTCATTGAGGGGGAGACATCAGATCTGACATGGACGCTAGACTGCCCGCATGGTGTGCTCCGCTTACCCAACAAGACGTCGGTTACTTGAGTCGATGTATAAGATCTAATAATGTGCCATGTTTGGCGAGGCGTCTCTTGTGTAAGCAGCGCACACCCGGAGGTGAGAGGGTAATGGTGGTGAGGTAAGCCGACTGCACTTGAGTTCTCTGCAGAAGAGCATCCTCGACCATGGGAATGAGTTGATAGTGCAGGATGGTATGTGTGCCATCCATATTTCTTGCCCTCTCTCACACAAAACACTCTCTCTCTCTCTCTCTGTATTTCTCAATTTCTCTCTGTCTACGGATTAAAGGTGCCCAGTCCATACTTAAGACGTGACCTGTCCCCCAACCCCCTTCCCTTCTCAGAAGAAGCATCTTACAGAGCTATGTACCAGGTCACGGTCTTGGTTGTAAGTGGCTGGGTGGCCAGACACCCCTCTAGCCCTGGGCCAACTCACCATGTGGTGTCTCGGACTAATGACATCACAGTTGTTGGTTGATGGTGGCCTGTAAGTGGCAATCACTCTGAAAGAAATCTACCTGCCTCTTTTCTGTCTCCGGCTGCATCGACATTAATCCAGATACATTTGAAAACGGAGTTTTCATTTTCCAAAAGTTTCTTGTCCACACTGACTGGAATCATCTTATTGCAGAAGCATAAAATATACTCAAAATGAGCTCAATGAAATGATGCAGAGAACAGATATAAAGTTCTGACACGCTGCTTCTGGCACATTACGATATATCGCACTCAAAATCGCTGTTAGTCTTAAACGCTATTGCCCTCCTGTTTTGCCACAGGACATCAATTTTCTTTCATTTTAACAGGAGTGTAGTATGAAGATTGTACAAAGCACTATGAAAATTAATAGACAACATTGCTGGTATAATCATAGACCAGTGTTTCCCAACCCTGTTCCTGGCGGCACACCAACACTGCGGTTATTCTTTGTCTCCCTAATCAAACACACCTGATTCAACTTATCAGCTCATTAACCCACCTGATTATGAGCTGATGAGTTGAATCAGGTGTGTTTGATAAGGGAGACAAAGAATACGCGCAGTGTTGGTATGCCGCCAGGAACAGGGTTGGGAAACACTTGCTGCGTCCCAATTCACATACCATCCGTCCGAAATAGTATTCGAAAATAGAATTAGTACGTCCCAAATCGTAGTGTGTTGAAATGAGTGTTTGAAAGATACCCGGATGGTCTACTTTTTCCGGTCAGAATCCGAAGTGTAGATCGATGCACACTCTAACGGCTGATATTGCCCACAAACCATTGCGCGTTGGACGAGGATTCGGTTAGAACTACAAACACGAGTAAAAAGTGGTAAAAAACTACAGACGCGTAGTCGATATCGCGCGAGTCCCCACGGTTGTGTACAGAGGTTTAGATAAAGAGCTTCGAGTGATTAATTGTCAGTATCTAACCTGACGAAAATGAATTTATTCAATGTTGTCCACATTACATTGCATTTGCAGCAGCATTGTGAACTTTTGTGAAGACACGTTTAGCCATTACTTTTTAAATGCATCATTATATTCAAACTGCAAACACGAGGAGAGCATGAAAGACCCACAACTGGCAGATGAACGTGCTCTCCGAAACGGTAGGAAATAAAATTAGATTGAATGGAGGATTTTAACTGTGACAAGATGATTGACAGGGCAGTTTACGGTGACAAGATGCACGTGACAGAGCTGTCCGTTAAAGATGACGTGATAGTATGTTCCAAAGCTTGCCTACTCTTTTGCGACACACTCAAAAGTATGTACTTTTTCCTCACAAAAAGAGTACATACTTTTAGGGCGTAGTATAAGTAAGCGAATTGGGACGCAGCAACTGTCATAGACTTCCACGGACACATAACAAGGGTTTCGTAGTCTGCACTACAATATGGAAAAAACAGCATTTTCAAATTTATCCATTTGTGAAAGGGTTTTCAAAAGTCTCCATTTTCACAGGACAAAAATTCTGTATCGGTGTGGAAGGAAGGCCAAAATGTTTTTTTTTTGTAAATGTATCTATTAATATCAATGTAGCCTCTGTCTTCTCTTCTGCCATCCCTATATTCTCAAAACCATACTATAAGCGTTCAGTTTAAACCTAACTACTGATTTGTTGGGGTGTCTCCACATGTTACCGAGAGAGAGAGTAAAATAAAGCACGTGTGGTCTAAAAAGGGCATTCACTATATTGCTACACGAGCCGCTGTAGCTGCGTCCATGCTGTGTGAAATGATTTGATTTGGAACCATCCTTTCCTCGTATCCCCCTTTCCCTCCTCTTTCTCTCTCTCTATCTCCTCCTTCTGTTGTTCCACAAGCTTCACAAACATGCTGAAGAACAAGCAGCCGACAGTGAGTAGCATCCGGGCGACCATGCAGCAGCAGCACATGGCCAGTGCGCGCAACCGCCGGCTCGCTCAGCAGATGGAGAACAGGCCCTCTGTGCAGGCTGCCCTGCAACACAAACAGGTACGAGATGAAATGCACAAAGACGACTTAAATGGCACATTCAGGTTATAAGGTAGACCCCTTTTGCGCCGACATCACAGTTACGTCACTTCGTTATCATAGTGAAAACTGGAGGCGGCTAATACAAACCGGCACAGATTTGGCTACATAATAAGTAGGGCTGGGTAATAAATATCGATTTCTCTATTAATCGATTCTCATTTTACGAACTGATATCGATTCTTAAATATCAAGAATCGATTAGTCATCCTGTTTCATTTGAATGAATGGAACATTGTATCGTGGCTGCGTGCATCCAACAAAAAAAAAATCGCAATAATCTTTGTCCTTTGTTACTATTGATATGAAACAAAGTCTCAATTTTCAAATTACGTCCATTTTCTTTAGAAATTCAAAAACATAAATAACGGCAAAATAATCTCTCTTCCGGCTTAATAATACTAGTCACAGCGTGAAATAAACATGAATGAGCATCTGAAAGTGTGTTAAAAGATAGAGTACAACTTATCGAAATCCGTATCATTTCACATTGATTCACTCAATCAGCGTTTCAACCGTGGAAAGACGTCAGTTAAACAGCTTGTAATCAATGTCATGTATCGTCATATTTACCTCAGAAAACCCACAAAAACTCGTTAGTCCACACTCGTTAGTGTTCTTCAATATTTAATGCATATTTGAATAAATCTGGCAAGTTTTTATGACAGCCACCATTTAAATGTTTATATTTCATGTAATCTTATTATAAAAATAAATAAAAGTGTAATTTAAGTGTTTGTATAGCTACAAAACAGTTCATTATTACCTTCACATTAGGCTAATGAAGCCTAGTAGGCTACAACTAGACTCCCATAGTTTACAGCATTTAAGAGATTTGATTCCCTTGAGAAAAATTGCCATTTATTGTAACTGATAACCAAAATAATCGATATTGAATCATAATCGAATCGAATTGCAAGCTTGTGAATCGAAATCGAATCGAATTGTGAAATTTGTCTCAATACCCAGCCCTACATTCTTGTATAAAACCCTTTTTTTTTGCTCTGTATTCTGTTACGCATTACAAATTTAATTTTGCCTTAAAATGTTAATCAATTCGATGTGCATAATCAAGGAAGAATCCATTATATCACCTGCAGAGCCTGAAGCAACGACTTGGGAAGAGCAACATCCAGGCCAGACTGGGTCGGCCCATCGGCACATTAATGCCGGGCGGCGGCAGAGGACGAGGTTTTCCTGGAGGATTGCGTGGAGCTGGACGAGGATTGCGAGGAAGAGTGAGAGGCGGTTCTATGAGAGGAGCACTCTCTCTTAGAGGTGACGAACATTCTTTACACGACACTACTTTTGCTTTTGTTTCCTGTTTTCCGGTGTGCTTATCAAACGCTGTCCTGCATTTATTTAATAAAAAGCCACATTTCCTATCTATACGTTTATGCTGGCTCGCTAATCTGAGGAAGAGGTGCATGCGCGTGTTTTCAGAATAAAGCTTTGCAGTGTGAGCTTCTTAACATTTCACATGAAATCTGTTGAGTTGAGATGATATTTTACAGTGGCAATGATTTTCACGTGTTTAGCCACCCTCTCTCTAAACTTTGCGTCATGCTGATTGGGCTAAACTGCCATTTTACAGCTGTTAGAAGACCCCTGGTGTGCTACTAGATTAGTAGTTCCTGCACCTGTTGTGCAGTCTCTAGGCGGTAACAGGAGGAGACAAGACAGCTGAGCCTGCTCTACTGTTCCACTAAGGAGTGTAGATGATTTTTATTTATTTTTTTTTTTTTTAGCTATAATGAAGTTTATAGAGTATCTACTAATTTTATCCAGTAGACTCATTGCCTCCCTTAAATTCTCTTGGGTATTGAGAGAAATTAATCTATATTACCAATAGTAGGAGTGGGAATCACAGGGTACGAAATACACGATAAATGGCTCATGATACAGCAATTCTCAGGGATCTGATTATTCCGGATTTTCCGACCTGAAAATGTGACGTATAAGACTTAAAGTGTATCGGTACAAAGGAGTCATCAGTTCGCGAATCGGACGTGTTGTTAACGGACCACGGCACACGTGTGATTATCCAGGCAGGTTAGGACGTCGCATAAGACTCGTCTCAATACAGAAAACATTTCATCAGTAGATAGATTTTTTTTTTTTGTTGTTGCTGAAAGTGTGGTTTGTCATGTGGAAAGCTTTTCAGAGAAGATAAGGCAACGTTGTTTTAGCACAATTCACAATCAATGGTAGTTAGTCTTCTGACATTTTACCATCGTTTATTCTCAAAGATATAGATCTTATGCATCAGAGAAACGTGGGCGCCGTCATCTTTAGAATATTGTCTTTGAACTTCCGGTTTCGCGGTCGCTCTGTATATCTCTATGGCATCGTTGTCCAGGATTAATTAGCTGGTGAAGTGGATTTACTTATTGTAGAGTTAACAAAAGTTATCATGAGCATTGTAATGTTTATCATAAGCGTCTTAACAACTGTCGACCGAGAATTTTTTTACGAGCAGTTCATTCATACCAATGCAAGATCACTGTGAAAATACAGACTGGAAGTCAAAAGACAACGAGCGCAACGCTGAAAAGGGGCGGGGCTACATAAGGTCTATTCAGTCAGCTGAATTCATTAATATGCGCGAGGGAGAGCAAGACAGTTTGAAGACGGTGTGCGAGTGACCGGGGCTTTCACTCTCTCAGCTCGTAACAAGCGCAGCAGTCACTCATCTACATCACTCACCGGTCAAATAAGGCTTTGGTGGGACAAAAATACGCCTTCCAGTCCAAAAAGTTCCAGTCTTTTTGCTCGTGATGTTTAAACTGACATGACTTGCTCTTTTAATGTGTGCGCTCGTGAAAAAACAAACATCCCTGCTCCCAAACTCGCATCTACACACACGTCAAATACACTGGAATGATTATCGGCCCTATTTTGACATCGGAACGATACCGATGTGTAAAAAAAAAAAAAGATCATATCGGCCGATACTCTATGTATTCTCAATTTAAAATAATAATTTGCTATACTTAACTGCAAGCACTCCCACATGCATTCTGGAAGTAGTTTTACCTTTAATTAAAACTTGTTTTTACGTCTCAGGTGCTGGTCCGATGAGAGGTAGGGGTGGTCCTGGACGTATCGGTCTCCGTCGAGGCATGCGTCAGCGCGGAGGACCTACAGGACGGGGAGCTTTTGGTGGCCGAGGTGCAGCTCGTGGAGTAGCTGGAGGAAGAGGTATAATGTATAATATTAGTAGGTTCTTGCTAGATTCTCAAAGTTAAATACACATTTTTGCCAGTTAGTGTTTTTTGTATTTCTCTTGCATGCTCATGTGTTTGTCTCAACGGTTCTCTCGTAGGCCGGGGAGGTCTGAGAGGTCGCGGAGGATTTGCTGGAAGAGGTCGTGGACGCGGCAGAGGCCGAGGAGCAGGTCGTGCCATCGTCACACGTGAGCAGTTGGACAACCAGCTTGATGCTTACATGTCCAAGACCAAGGGCCACCTGGATGCCGAGTTGGACGCATATATGGCCCAGGCCGACCCAGAGAGCATGGAGTAACCACAGCTGAGCTGAGAGAGAGCAGCTCTCCAAAGATCTGCAGATAATAGACTGGCTGACAAACACACAGAACCATGAAAGCTTTTGCTCTTGGACACTCCCGATGAGACATTTAAACTTGAAGTTTGTACAAAGTTATGTATCCATCCCACTTATGTTCAATCATCTGACTCATTACTTGCATTTCCTAAGCCGAATGCTGTACCATCCATAAAGCCTCACGACAGTTTATGGTTCTAAAACGCAGGTCCTCTTAGAAAGGTTTTGGCCGTGAAGTGAAGGAAAAAAAGTTTTCCATTGAACTATAATAAGAGATTGTACTTGCTATTTTGTCGGCCAAAATTCTGAAAATGACCCAATGTGTGAACTCATCCAGTGGTGAAACATGGTTTATATCGATGAACATTACAGCAATGTCATTTACCTTTTTATTATTGTATTTTTATTACGGTTTTAAAAGTAGAAATTTTACTTGGTATACGCAATCTTGATACGTCTTTTTTTTTTCAATGTTAAAAGATGGTTTAAAGTATATTGTAACCAATTCTCTTTTTTTTTGGTTTCAAATAAATCTTTGCCAATGAGACCTATGTGCTTGCAGTGACTTCCCGAACAATATTATTACCAACATTTTTAGACATTTGCTCAAATTTAAGTGGCTGTTTTATGGGAGTGTCTTACCCCCTTCAAATGTTCAGTATCTCCACTAGATGGAGGTTAGTTGCTGCCTTTTTTTCTCTAAAGCTTAATTTAATGATTTGGGGAGTATGAATGTGTGCATGTGTAATATGAAACTGGGGTTATTTGTATTTGCGTAGCGCAAGTGTCTAACTGTTTAGTGGCCTATAAATATCAGACATATTACATCGTTTCAATATACAGTACACCGGAGCGTTGTAGCGTCAACAAAAACATGAGACCAGAACTGATAACCTAAATTTTAAATTTCCTTACAGCATACAATAAGGTTCTACTGCTGTATACGCCGTGCACATTTAAGAGATACTGTATGACATTGACAATTAAACAACGTTACTTGGTGAAGGTATTTTGGGCTTCTCTATTGAGTATTTACATTTAAATTATTTGTAAATTATCTTAAAATATATTTTATATTTTATAAAATGTGCTATTAAATTACCCTTTTACTTGAAGTATTATTTCAATAAAATACTAATTTACAGATTATTCACGACAGAAGCCTCGTCAAAACGGAACTGACGTTTTGGGTTGGGTGACGTTGACAGCGCACCATGGCAACGCTCTTATGCGCTTGCTTCAGTGTCCAGACTCCAGACCAAAGCAGCAGTGCTGTCGGAGATTGCGCGTGGAAGCGGAGATTTGCAAACTACAGCATTTCTTTGTCCTGGGCATATGCAGGATATTATCACAGCGTCATTGAATATTCGTCGTGTCGTTTGGGAGCTTCATTATTTTAGATAAAAACATTTGCTTTACGGGTGAAAAGTTGAGATTCACAGCGCGAGCGAGATGATGCTTGAATCCATTGAAGTTACAGGTAAATCTGTCAGTTTACATTAATGTTACAACACAATGTTTGTCAATGAATTTAGGGAAATTAATTGCATTTAATTAAAATGTAATTCCTTAGAATGAATTAGAATTACAGAAAGGCTTACCTGAACTTGAAAGGAACCTGATTTGATACGTTCATTAAAATTACTTAAAAAAAAAAAATGGCAATAAAGACTCTGAAAAGATTTCAGAGAAAATGATGTTTATCACTTTTTGTATCTAATGCACAGACATTTATGTTTAGTGCGGTCAAATGTGCTTTTCGGTTTCACTCATGCATGCTACATCAGCCAATGAAGCCCCACAAATCTAAACATACACAGCTAGTTTTGCTTCTGGCTAGATTGGCTCTCTGATGCTGGTCCTTTTACTACAGTGCACCTGTCAGCTGTTCTCTGATGAAGCGTGGGATCATTTTGCAGAGGCATGTGCCATTGTGTGCCACAGAGTTGCTTGGCGCAACTTCTCCTGAAATGATTGAGTTTAAAACCAAACAGTTTTAAAATACTGACATTTAATGATGTAGCAGATGCTTTTATCCAAAGCAACAAATGAAAGCCTGCAGGATCATTGAATGGGTCAGGTTTATCCAGCTGTATACCTGTCATTGCTGAATGGGAAATAGTTTTTGTTTTGTGTTCTAATATAGGATTAATCTGGTCTATGAAATCAACTCAAGGCTGATTTTATACCTCTGCGTCGCACCTACACCGTACCTACACTCTTAGAAGAAATGGTTCTATTTAGAACCAGAAATGGTTCCATCTCCTGCTTCATATGTGGAACTCCAAAATGGTTCTATATAGAACCATTTTTTTGGTAAAAGGTTCTATTGGAGTGTATAGAACCTTTTAGGGGTTCCAAATACGTAGCACTGATAGAACCTTTTCTTCTAAGAGTGTATGTGCACCTCTATAAAAATGTAACAACGAATTTGTCGTGGACAGCAATCGCTGTGATTGGTCTCCTAGAACCTCTGCCTCAGGGGTTAATGTGGAATTGCACATCGTCGCGGACAACGACCCCGAAGAATAAATGAAAAGCGACGCGTAGAGGCTACGGAACAGGCCCGACGCATAAGTATAAATCAGCCTTCACTAGACAGTGAAAGAGCTGCTTTCAACAAGCTGCTGTTCGGATCTGTTTCTCGCCTTTTGTTGAAGTCAAGGGTAAATAGGCAAAGGAGATTTTATTTCCAGGGAAATGGGGACACACCACTGAACTGACAATGGCGCGACTGGTCTCAAATTCTAGAGTAGATTCAAGATTCAAGAAGAGATTCATTTCCTTTACTTGAAATTCCACCTGGTGTTCTCTGCTCTCCCCTCATGATATATTTCACAGTACAGGAGGCTGTGAAACGGTCAATATAGTAACAGCTAAGCCTTTGTGAGGCACAACTAAGATTCACAATATAGTAGTTTTTTAGTACTAAAACAGAGTTCTCGATTAGCCCACACCACTGGAAGTCAACCATCCTCCTTAGATCACAATTGATGGGACAGAGTTGAAAACAGTTTATCACTTTACTTGGGAAGCATCAATTCCATGGATGTCATGGTTGACAAAGAGTTGAGAATAGACAGCGCATTTGGCAGACTACAAAAGAGTCTGAAGAAGAGTAATATGAACTTGCTACTGGTCAACGAAGGAGCACCAATGAAGAGGTTAAAACAAAAAAAAAACATTTCTCTTCTGGTCTCAGACTTTACTCGGACAAGACCCTTTTGGTCACAGACTTGATTCGAAAGAGGCTCTTTTCTTGTCTTGGCCTTGACTCCGACAAAACAATTTCACGATCTTGACAGACATGACCCTCTTGTAGTCTCCTCCATGACTTGTACTTGCACTGTGACTTGCACTGTCTAGTCTGTCACCCTCTTCTGGTCTTGGACTTGACTCAGATGCAACCCTTTTTTGGTCTCGATCTTCATTTGGACACTTTGTTTACTACAGTGAACTCATTGTCATGTTCAAGAAACCAATTTGAAATGATTGGATCTTTGTAACATGGTGCATTATCCTGCTGGAGCTAGCCATCAGAGGATGGGGACATAGTGGCCATAAAGGGATGGACATGGTGAGAAACAATGCTCAAGTAGGCCGTGGCATTTAAACGATGCCCAATTGGCACCTAAAGTGTGCCAAAAAAACATCCCCCACACCATTACACCACCACAACCAGCCTGCACAGTGGTAAAAGGCATGATGGATCCATGTTCTCATTCTGTTTACGCCAAATTCTGACTCGAACACCTGAAATCGAGACTCATCAGACCAGGCAACATTTTTCCAGTCTTCAACTGTCCAATTTTGGTGAGCTCTTGCAAATTGTAGCCTTTTTCCTATTTGTAGTGGAGATGAGTGGTACCCGGTGGGGTCTTCTGCTGTTGTAGCCCATCCGCCTCAAGGTTGTGCGTGTTGTGGCTTCACAAATGCTTTGCTGCATACCTCGGTTGTAACGAGTGGTTATTTCAGTCAAAGTTGCTCTTCTATCAGCTTGAATCAGTCGGCCCATTCTCCTCTGACCTCTCGCATCAACAAGGCATTTTCGCCCGCAGGACTGCCGCATACTGGATGTTTTTCCCTTTTAACACCATTCTTTGTAAACCCTAGAAATGGTCGTGCGTGAAAATCCTTTTTTTCCATGCCACGCTCAAAATAGCTTAAATCACCTTCCCATTCTGACATTCAGTTTGGAGTTCAGGAGATTGTCTTGACCAGGACCACACCCCTAAATGCATTGGAGCAACTGCCATGTGATTGGTTGATTAGATAATTGCATTAATTAGAAATTGAACCAGTGTTCCTAATAATCCTTTAGGTGAGTGTATATTGTATAAGTTATTTAAATGGTTTCTAGAAAATAAAAAAGAAGCATGACACACATATTATGTTTGTTTCTTCAAGACATTTTAAAAGACCCACTAGAGAATTGAGTAGACTATTGTAGTATTCCATCTTGTGATATTTCCTTGCAGAACTGCTCCATTGGCCAGGGCTGGAAACATCTAAGAGTTGTGTCCTGAGCCCTTTGGAGAAGCCTGTGAGCCCCAGTCAGCTGCGTCTGGAGCACATCTCCTCTGACATTCTAAAGGACCTGATTAACACGACCACCAGCAGCTACAACACACTGCTGCAGAAAGAGTCAGATGCTCAAGAGAGCCCTAAAAGCTCATCTTACAAGTTCCCGAAAAGAGTCTCCATGGCGACGCATCGCGACAGACCCCTGCCGACCCTTGCACCTCTCACAATGAGTGGGCTGGCTTTTGGTTGCAGAGATACCAGGCATGCTCAGTCTGTGTTCTCCTGTTTCTCCACCAACAGCTCCAAGCAAACAAACAGCATTACTGTGCTGGGCAGTGCCATCCGTCTGTCCCCTTGCTCCATCCCCAGGCCCAAAAACAGCTGCCCAGCCGGCACAAAACTCCCGCAGCTTTCCAGAGTGCTCTCTACTGCACGTGATGGAGAGAACTCAATCAAGAAGCTGTGCATCCTCACTGCCATAAAGCCATCCAACGTGGAGAAGGAGAAGGCCAGGTTTTTCAAATCAGACTTTAAATACAACCCTCAGTTTGTGTACAGCAATCCTCTGCCTCCACAAATACTAGCAAAGCACAGCAACGCTTCAGACCGCTTCCTCACACAGGTAAGTGGCCATACTCTCATCAATATCGTATTAAAGGAGAACTCCGGTGCAAAATGAACCTTTGGTCTAATGACACATCGGTACCTAGTCGACCGTTCTCTGAGATTTGTTTTCATGATAATCGAATGTAAAGAGTTTTATCTCTAACGTATAACGCTAGTATATAGGGGCATTTAAAAAGTAAAAAGAAATCGATAGTTTATGCAAGTTTATTAAACTTTATTTAGTTTATGCCTACTTGGAAAACGAAGAACTTTGAGAGTGAAAAGACCGTTTAATAAGAAGATGCTTTATAAAGACAGTTCACTTCGTGTATACAGGCGGCGTCATCTTTGGAAAACAGTCTCAACAAGGCGAACCACGAACGCCGTTCATACAGTTCAGATCACTCAGCACGACGTTCGTGGTTCGACTTGTCGAGACTGTTTTCCAAAGATGGCGCCGCATGTATACTAGAGCCCGACCAATAAAGGATTTTGAAGGCCGATACCGATACAAATATTTGTTGGTTTTAAAATTCGATATTCCGATATATCGGCCGATATTTTTTACCTGCACTTTTTAAATTCTTTCCATCAAGCTACATCAAATCATTTTCAATCATCAGTGGCTGCCTGCCTTCTAAAACCTACTATTTAGCCATTCTAAATCCATTACGGTGTCGTTAGATTTCACACACGTGTAAAAGAAAAGCTAACTTTTATGCACAGGATGTGTGGCGCGTTATACACGAGTGTTGCCAACAGGGACGGTGTAGAGTGCCCTCTGGTGGACAAACTATACAACTCCAACACTCATGACATGGTTGAAGCTTGTTTCGTCCGTTTTTATTTTATTTTTGAAATATTCATTTATCGGCCATTATAACTGCCGATACCGATAGTTTGGAAAATGCCTAATATCGGCCCATAATATTGGCCTGCCGATAAATCGGTCTGGCTCTACTGTATACACAACGTTTTTAATCCACAAAAAAAAAAAAAAAAAAAATTCAAAACACTCTCAATAATCAAGCCGTTTTGATTTTCTGAGCAATAGAGTATCACAGTCCCGCCCACAGCCGGAGCCGGAAGTAAAAATTCAATACAATTTCTCTATTGACAGTTGGGATATAAGTTATAAGATATAAGTCGGGATACAATTTTTTTAATTGTATGGCGCTTGTGTCCACACACTGCAGAGACACATTTATATGCAAACACCATGTAAAAGTGAATTTTGCATCCAATGACCCCTTTAAGAAGTATTTGGGAGAGAATTAGCAGATGTACATAAGGACTCTGGCATGATCTCTGGGCTGACCTCGTCTTAACTTGGTTGAAGTGCTGTAGAGTGCCAGAAGTCACAGCACATCTGACATCAAGGTCTTTATTTCACTCTCTCCCACGATCTACCGCATTTAGCACTTGCATTCATTTCCCCCTCATCCTTTCATGCTGATATCTTCTGTAAGGTTTCCCGCAAGGTCACAGTCAAATAAATGAGATTAAATGGAATTACTTTTGAAAAGAAACTTTCTGACTCTTTAGTTCTATAAACCTGGATCCAGCAGCTCAAAAGCAACGTGTTACCAACAACACAATCAGACTAATAAACCTCTTTGATGGATAAAGAGTTAACTACACTGGGAAGGGGGTTCGGAAAGGGGTTACAGAGCACTTTGTATAGGGCGTAGCCTAAGAGATCCCAGTGTTTCTGGCTCAACCGGCTGCAAAAGCTGATAACAACAACATATCAAGTTATATGTTACTAAGAGGTTAGATAATATTTAAAAGAAAGTAGAAGTGGCTCTATTAGGGCCCTATGTGCTGGAGCAGAGTCATTTTAGACCATTATATTGATTGTCTCAGAGTGGATCACCCTCAGGCTGTTCCTGACGGATCACAAATCAGTTCTCATAAATCCACTCTCAGCGCCAAAAGTCCCCAACTGTGGCCTAGTTACTGAGCTCTATACATTCATGACATAACAATTGAGAACAACTTTGAGTCATGCTTCTGCAAGCATGTCTTATTTCACTTATGCAGCCAGTGTTTCATCCAAAAGCAAGAGTCCCAAAGGCTCACTTTGGCTACAAAATGAAATTTTACAGTTTCAACCTTTGTTACTATGCTTATTAAAAATGGATACTAATATATATATATATATATATATATATATATATATGAAGAGTTCAGATGCAAAAGCCTCTAAATGCCATTTGAAATTTTCTTCTTTAATGATGATTTTTATTAAGCTTGTATATTTAAGTTCAGTAATTACACTTAAATGGCAAGGATAATTACATATTAATTGTTATTTAAGTGAAATTACTGAACTTAAATATACAAGCTTGATAAAAAATCATCATTAAAGAAGAAAATTTCAAATGGCATTTAGAGGCTTTTGCATCTGAACTCTTCATATATTAAACATGTGTAGCTTCATAACCTTCAACACAAGACTTTTTAACTCATTGGTTCTCAACTTTTTTTGACTCAAAGGCCCCCCATCACCCAACACAATATCCTAAATAAAGAGATTTCTGAAATGTATTCTATTCTAAATCTATTCAGGGTTTTTATTCATGATATATCAAAATAGTTTACAGGGGTAATTTAATATATTAAATTTACCACAATTATTTCTGTGATTCTAGAAGTTATGTTCTGTATGTTTTTTTATTGAAAACAATATTCATTGAGGGTAAATAAAATGATGCAATTATGCATTTCTATTTTAAAAGGATTTTAAAAAGTTATATTTAAAATTCATTAATTGAAATATTTTTATCGCATCTTGCGGCCCCTTTGTAAGTTTGCTAACGCCCCCTATGGGTCCTGGCCCCCTCCTACCTAAGGCAACATTTTATCCTATCATATAAATATACATTAATTAGTAATACACAAATGAAACATATTCATGCTTACTTTTTTTTCAAGTTTTTTTTTTTAATCACTTCTCAAAATGATAAATGGCCATGGGTATCTGTTTTTTACCAGAATTTCCTCTGGCATATACAGGGAATCAATGAAGCCGCTTTGTTTCGCTGTATTTATCTTTGTTCTAAAAATCTTCTATAAGTTCTCTCAAATGGCCCGTGACTGAATGCTTGCTGATGTCTCAGGCTGTGAGGATCATGGAGTTGGCCCTACAGAAGTACGGCTCGTATGAGAAGTTTGAGCAGGCTACAGGAGGAAACCTCCTCACCAAGAGCCGCATCTGGTGCCACGTCAAGAAATACATGGAGAAGGAAGGATGCATAGGAGAGGTGAGAGAGTGAGCTAATTAGATAGAAACAATAAGATAGATATTCAGTTTGTCAACACTGTACTTTTAATTTAACCCCAAAAAGCGTACTCACTTCAAAAATTTGAGAAAAATACAAAAACACTACACTTATGTTCAAAAGCCTGTTTTAGAAATAAGTTCTTATGTTCACCATTTGATTGAAATAAAAACAGTAAAATTTTTAAATATTATAACAATTTAAAATAACTTCATGATCCTATAGAAATCATTCTAATATGCCGATTTGCTGCTCAAAACAGTTGCTATTATATTTGTGTAGATTTTTGTCAAGATTCTTTGATGAATAAAAAAGTATTTGAAAGAAATCTTTACGGTCACATTTGATGCGTCCTTGCTGAATAAAACTATTCATTTCCTTCTTACTGCCCCTTAATATTCTGAACGGTATTGTAGTTTATTGATTTTTCTTTTCTCATCTTGAGAGCTTTATGAAGTTTAAATCTAGTCTCTCTCTGTAGATTGTGGTTCATCTTACTGATGACCTCCTGTCCAGAGCGTCCATGACTGTGGTGAACAGCAGGCCTACGCTCACCATTAACATCTCTACTGCTAGAGAGCAGTGGCTGGAGGGAATGCTGAGGCATGAAATCGGTGCGTGTTTGTGTGGAAGAGCATCTGATAGCCTGTTGAGGCTCATATTAAATAACTGAATAGAATAGTAAGACACTTTCAAGACTTTCATGATCCACTCAGTTGTGTTCTGTACTTTGGATCATGTCACGGTCACCCCATGAAAATCAGCGATCCGTGTCGGCAACAGCTTGTGTTCCTGCTGTCAGGGACTATTACACCCAGAGCGTATCAGAGCTCAGTGTCAGGAACACAGTAATTACACTCCCACGCTGTGTGTTCTCTCTCTCCTTCACTTTCTCTGCACACAGTTCAGGGTTTGGCTGCTGGAGACATGGCCTAACCCTAGGGTTCAGCGCTCTTTATAAAGTTTCAATAAAGACATTTTCAGTTAGTCACAAGAGAGTTAAAGTGTGATTATTTGAATTAAATATGCATTTGTAGTGTACCTAAAATTTTAAAAGTATACTTTATTAATTGTATTTGTAGATAATATGTTAAAACAAAAGTCCACTTCACCCATTTCATTGACTCGCCCTCATGTTTTTACTCTGCTCAACACAAAAGAAGATAAGAATATGGGTAACCAAACAGTTGACGGGTCCATCAACTACAAACATTCTTCAAAATATCTTCTTTTGTGTTCAGCAGAAGAAAGACATTCATACAGGTTTGGAACAACTTGAGGGTGAGTAAATGATGACAGCATTTGTGTTAAGTGTACTTAAAGAGAGTTCACTTTCTTGACTGTTTCTTAACACATTTAAGTATACTTTTTTAAAAAAAAGTAATAATGTCAGATTAAAAAGTTGTACTTTTAAAGATTATTAAACAGAATCATTTTGAATGTACTTTAAAGTACACTTATTTTAATGTGTTGACCAGCATAATGAAGCTCATGTAAAGTACACTCTTAGAAGAAAAGATTCTATATAGAACCTTAAAAGGTTCTTTCAGCGCTACGTATTTGGAACCCCTAAAAGGTTATATACACTCTTAAAAAAAGGGTTCCTCTGGGTTCTATATAGAACCCTGGGGTTCCATACTTGGCCAATAGAACGTTTTTTTAAAAAAATAGAACCATTTTGGAGTTCCATATATGAAGCGGGGGATGGAACCATTTCTAAATAGAACCATTTCTTCTAAGAGTGTATTATAATTTATAAATATTTAAAGTTAAAATATTTTAAATGTAACTGCAACTTCGTCATTAAAACTAGCTTGGCAGTATTTAACCCCATTACAAAGACAAAATAGATGAAATATACAGTATGCTTAATTGTTAAAAGTGCTATATATAAATGAAGGTGACTTGACTTAAGTGCAAATTTAATGTATCACCATATAAATTTGTATTACATCCAATAAGCTGACCTTTAGAGTTTTTTGACTGACTTAAGTAGAACTTAAATAATCTTTAGTTGAAATATTTCAAATATGGTTAAAGTGTACGGCCGAATGTACTATAGCATATAGATATAGTATGTAATACTATAGTATACAGATACTATAGATATTATTAAATTTGAAAAATATATTTATCAAATGTAATAATATCTAAAATATATCTATGATTAACACACTTGAATTATAGTCAACAAGTCAACACATCCAAATAAGTGTACTTCTTTAAAGCATGACAAAAGATTTTTAAAACATTATTTAAAATGTACTTTATAGTTATACTTTTAATTTGACATTATTACAAAGTGCACTTTTTCAAGTGTAAATATGTGTTAAGAAACAGTTATGATAATGAGTATCCTTAAGTGGACTTTTACTTCATTAATATATTCTCTGTACTTTGTTAAAAATATACGTTTAAGATTTGAAGTACACTACAAGTGCACATTTAACACAATCAACCACATTTATTTCTCACGACAATGAGCTCAATCTAGGTTATTGGTAACTAATAATAGTTATTATAAAACATTTTGATCTTCATTTTTGATAAAGTTCCAGATTTTACTGATTTGATTGGTAAAGTACGGTAAACCTCTCTACTCTTTCTCAGGTACGCACTACTTCCGCGGCATCAACAACAGCCACCAGCCGTGGAGCAGCGGCGGGAGCAGAAAGAAACATGGTCTGCGTCCCATCAACCCCACGGAGGAGGGTCTGGCAAGCATCCACAGCGTGCTCTTCCGCAAGGACCCCACCCTGTGGCGCGCCGCCCTGCTCTACTACACCGTCTACCAGGCAAGCCGCATGTCCTTCTCACAGCTGTTTCACAACCTGGGCCGATTCGTCCACGACCCCAACACACGATGGGACTACTGCGTCAGAGCCAAACGAGGACAGACGGACACGGCGCTTCCAGGTGCCACGGCCTGATTCTCCGAAATATGACGTCTCACAGAACTACCGTTGTTTTTAACCATGCTAATAATAAAATCTGTTTGCTATTAAGGTTGTTTCAGTAAGGACCAGGTTTATCTAGATGGCATCCTGAAGATCCTCAGACACAAAGACAAGATTGACTTCCAGCTGCTAATGGCTCTGGGAAAGGTTAGTTTGAAGTCAACATTATCCATACACTTCATTCAGAACGCACAAAATCGGCAAACGTGTGTGTGTGGTTGTGCAGGTGTCCTATGAGGATGTGGAGCGTCTGAAGGGTTTGGCTCTGATGGAGCATGTACGGATCCCTCACTTCCTGCAGGATCAAGTGCGCTACACGGAGCAGCTTCATAAAATCATGGAGGTCAACCAGTTAACCGACGAGGAGCTGTGCGTGCTTATTCCCGAACACGGGACCTCCGGCATAGACGGTTGTGTCGTGAGATAGTAAAGAGTAGAGCCAGACCGATATATCGGCAGGCTGATATTATCGGCCGATATTAGGCATTTTCTAAACTATCGGTATCGGCAGTTATAATGGCCGATAAATGAATATTTCAAAAATAAAATAAAAACGGACGAAACACGCTTCAACTATGTCATGAGTGTTGGAGTTGTATAGTTTGTCCACCAGAGGGCACTCTACACCGTTCCTGTTGGCAACACTCGTTGAGTTGTTCATGATACATACATTGCTTGAATAACAATTAAAAGAACATCCCCATCAGTTCTCTTAACTCAAATAAGCATGACAAAATTTGTCAGCCGATATATCAGAATATCGGATTTTAAAACCCAAAAATATTTGTATCGGTATCGGCCTTCAAAATCCTTTATCGGTCGGGCTCTAGTAAAGAGCTGGTGTGTTAACAGGTGAATCTAACGAAACCTGTCTAGGCAATATTTCACTTTTTTATTTAAACTAAAGTGAGAAAGACCAAATTTTTAATTGTTTTCATGACAATTAAGGCCCTTTCCGACCTCAAATGTTTGTAATTCCCATATCCCAATTAGTGTAAATGTACAAAAATTGAATTCTGATTACTGATTTATTACAAAATGTAAATATATATTATAAAATTTAGGGCTGTCAAATGATTAATCGTGATTAATCACATCCAAAATAAAAGTTTTTTTTTACATAATATATGTGGGTGCACTGTGTATAATTATTTTATATATATATACACACACATGCTTGTATATATTTAAGAAAATTTTCATGTATATACTGTATATAGATTTATATTACATATAAATATTTTATATATAAATAATACTTTTTCTCTTAAATATACATGCATGTGTGTGTGTGTGTGTGTGTGTGTGTATATATATATATACAAAATAATTATACACAGTGCACCCACATATATTATGTAAACAAAAACTTTTATTTTAGATGTGATTAATCATTTGACAGCCCTAATAAAATTATATATATATGGCAAAATTACATTGTGGCAAAGTAACAATGAAAAAAAATCTGAATAGTAATTTAGTAATTAGGTGAAATGTGACCCTGACATGTTTTCGTGAGTTTCATTCTTCTGAGGATTGGAAAATAAAGTAATCAGTGATCAGATAATGGCCTTTCTTTGGTCACTTTTAGCTAGTGCAGAGCATTAAAGGATTAGTTCACTTTTCAAAAAAACTTTTGCTGATAATTTACTCACCCCCATGTCATCCAAGATGCCCATGTCTCTCTTTCTTCAGTCGAAAAGAAATTTAGGTTTCTGATGAAAAAATTCCAGCATTTTTCTCCATATAATGGACTTCAATGGGAACTCAATGGTTTAATGTCCAATTGGGAGTTTCATTTGGACATTAATTCACTTTTGAAAATGTTTATTAAAGAGTGAACTACTCCTTTAAGACCCTTCTGAAAGTTCACAGTCAGGACGTGTGTGTTGTTTTCTCCTTTGAGGCGATATTGAAAAGAGAGGCCAAATTACATATACATAACTTAAAAATTGCCAAATGTGTATATGTACTACAAGTTCTTTAAACAATTTGTTTCCTGATTTCCTAAGTTATACACTGCTTGTGTGATATAAATGTTTATATCTTTCTGATGGCATGTGTTTGACAATATAACTTATAATCAACAATAATGAAAAAGTTCTTGGTTGCCAAGATGTTAACCTTTGTTTAAGTGTCCTCTGTGGAAGTAGACAATCCTACTGTATGTGTCCTAAATGTCACACACTAAATATACAGTATATGAATAACTTCTCACTAGCTCAGCTGCTCTACCTTGACTGTTTATTTGACCTTTGACCTTGCTCTGTTCCTGCCATTTTCCTATAGATCAAAAAGCACTATACCAGTTGCCTATAAAACGCTTTATAGTCAATGACAACCTTCTTCTAAATATGAACTAACTGTGTTTAAATTAATAAAATAAATGTACTCATTCAGAATGCCCTGCTCAGATGTTCATTTTAAAGCATGTTAAAGATCGGATTTTTGTTTGGGTCATGAGAAGTTGATTGATTGATCATTCTTTACTTATTAATCTGTTTAAAGTGCATCATTCTGCATGTGAACATAGGACATTCGATCATTAATTACAGGATGTAATATTGTCAAAGAATGGTCATTGTTTAAAAGTAAGCAATGATCAATCCCACAATGCCCTGAGTCTCAAACACACTGTAAGTGATCTTTTGGCAAACTGTTTCCACAGGTGTCTTGTTCTTGCATGTGTTTGTAAGCAGATCCTGCGGTTTTAACACCTACTAGGACGGACAAAGTTTTTTGTTTTCAGCTGCGCTTCACGACCGACACACACACAAACATACACACACTGTAAAAAAAATAGGTCAAGGCTCATTAACCTCTCTCTGAAGTTTTAGCTTTCACACTTCCTGCAATCTGTGGGATTAAACTGGGATTGTGTGTGTGCGCATGACATGAACATAACATTTTAAATGTTGAAATGCAATATATTTTTACTGGGATTTAAAGGAACTTGATGATGTTGTTTGGAAATCTGATGCTTTAGATATATATTTATCTGCCTCTGCTGTTTCGCGCATAGCTCACTTTGAAATGAATTTTTGATATGTTTTAGCTTACCTCAAGGGCATCCAAGATGTAGGCGTCTTTGTTTCCACAGCATGTTCAATTTGGACATTTTTTGGTCAAACAGTTGTTGTCGGTCAGTCATATAATGCAGGTAACTGTTATGGGCCCACCTCAAAGAGCATGCACAGAGAAGTCAAAATTACATGATTTAATGACTCGTGAATGTAAGTACACACTAAGACACAAAACGAGCGGTTTGTGTGAGAAAACGAACAGTATTTATATAGTTTTTACCTCTCCGAACTGATCTCAATCAGACGTCCAAACTGAACCGAACTGAACCGTCTCCAAATTTACGCCGGAAGTGATCTCTCGCGCGTCTATGTCAAGTAATATTTACACGGAGATTTCGGTTAAGTTTTACCTTTCACGAAACATATTTACTTTCACTATACATTGCGATTTCCCGTATATGTTTAGTGAAAGGTAAAAAAGGTTCCGAAATCTCCGAGTAAACAAGATGCGTGAGAAAGGCGGCCTTGTGTATAATTCGTATAGCTCTTTTCTGTAGCAAAAAACGTGACTGTATTACATTTTTGAAATTATTGCCCCATACCTCTACACAGTAGGTTAGATATGGCTGTATTAAAGCACAATACAGGGTATGGAGTGCATTATAATCAATGATGCTTATTATGGCAAGGCTTTTGGAGACTTTGGTTGTCTGATGTGGGCATTCCAACTTAGCTTGTTGTCAATCGTAACACCTAAAAACTTTTTTTCCTGAACATTTTCAATGTGTACTCCATCTATCTCAACCAGTTTCTGCGACTCAGCTTGATACTTTCCAAAAAACATCACTTTGGATTTATCGAGGTTTAAGGATAATTTGTTAATTAGTTTCCATCCATTTTTTAAAATTTACTTAATTCTTTGTTTATAACACTAAACAGTTGCTTCAAACTATCGTTACTATAAAAAAAATATTTGTATCATCAGCGAACAATACACATTTAACCAATTGAGAAACATTAAAAATATCATCAATATATAAATTAAATAATTTGTGGCCCAATACTGACCCCTGCGGGACACCACAAACAATGTCAAGACATCCAGAAGAGAACTCACCCACCCAGACAAACTGCACTCTGTCGCTCAAATAACTTTTCACAAATTATTTGCACAACCTTCTAAATTATTGCCCTGATGGTGGAAATGTGAATTTTTCATGCTTTAGCTATTTTCTTACTGCCAATTTTTGTGAAGCTCAACAATCTTTTGCTGCACATCAGAACAATTATCCTCTGGTTTTAACTTTTTGTGATGGATGATTAAGGGAATTTGGTCTTTGGGTAGTCAAAGCTAGCCATATTCATGTTTCAAGTGTGCTAAAAATTGCAAATATGAAGGGGAATATACTTGTTAATATTTTAATTTACATAGGTAATGACATGTAATCATATTGTTTAAATAAAAAAAGGGTTTGCATTTAACATGCTTTACAACACAAAATAAACCCTGGCCTGCTGCTTCACTGTGAGTAAAGTTCACTGATCATGTGGACGTTCAGCAAACACGTGAATGTTTGCTAGATAAATAAGCGGATGTCTAAAAGCAGATAGACAGAAGTCCGACAGAGGACTTTAATCTTTAGGCAATTTTCAACTTCTACTTTTTTTTTTTTGCTGAAGTGAGTCATGATGCGAGTGAATTCCCCACTGTAAAGAGGAAACAGATATGATGATGACAATCAGTTGGCTACTTATTCTATTAAAAGGAAACGCATTCCGTTTACACAACTCCATTATCCTCCAACAAGATGCAAATACACCTACCAGAAGCTTGACGAGGTTCATTCTCGTGTTACGCAGCATGTTTGAGCTTCCACGAGAACCAATGAGAGGTTTATTCTCTCCTGTTTATGTTCACAGATCAATGTTTATATGTGAATAAAAGCCTAAATTCAATCTTAATTTGATTGTAAACACATGTATAATGTTACACAACTTCTCAGTCACTTTTGAAGAATTTAATGCACTCTTTCTGAATTAAAGTATTCATTTATATCAAAACATAAATAATTAAAAAACCCAAACTTACCGGTATTATGCCATTCCTAACAGCTCATGTGTTACTGTCCCTAAATCACCACATGAGAGACAAACTCGGGTTGTAAATATTGATTTATTATTTGCACTTAAAAAGTTGGCACACTTTTCATTTCCTTCATTTCACTTAATTTTATGTACATGTTTAATAAATCTGTGTTTAAATATCTCTCTCATTTTATTGCGTTCTATATTAAAATCTAATGTTTGTTGCCCTAGAATCTCTACTGTACATTGAACAAACAAAACAAAAGGCAATCACGGTGCGCTTCTCTCATTCTTTCATTGATATTCAAGTCAGTCATTGTGCTAGTCCAGGCGAGAGTGTAAAAGGTCATCGCTCATGTTTGGACATGGTATCTCCTCTCTCCACCACTGCCACGCCGTTGCCACTGCACAGGTGCTCCTTCAGGATGATGTTCACGAAGAACTCTGCCACTATAGGACAATGCTCAGACGCCACACCACCCCAAGACCAGTTATCGGGAATCCATGGATTGGTCAGGCCCTTCCGCACCACCGAGCAATGACCTGAAGGGGGCAGCACAACCACATACACAATACAACACTTCAGTCAAAAGTGTGCTTTTGAAAGTCTCTCATGCTTTCCAAAGTGGCAGAGCCGACTTGTTTAAAGAGTAAATATCATCTAAAATGTTTCATCTTACACCACCCACCTGTGTAGATCTTTTTGAGGGAGCGACTGGCCCAGATGTTGTCCAGACAGTGCGAACCCTGCGGCGTGCGAGTGCTGATGTTCGTAAAGACGGACGGTGCGAGGAGGGCCGAGAGTTTTTCTTTCCTCAGGCACTCCATCTCAGGGCTGTCAGGAGCCGTGCCAAAGTGACCCAGCACCAGCAGTTCTCTCTCACCTACACCAGCAACACCAACAGAGAAATATTGAGGGCGTGTTGGCATCATTTATGTCCTCAAACCTTTTTAATTTCTCTCCTTGCACTAGAACACACAGTCTCAGTCAATACACAGCACAAACATACAACCATAAAGACTACAATTCCACCTGATAGCACCATGGAGCTCACTGACACGGACACAAAACAGATAAGGAGCTCTTGCAATCGTGACTGCTGCAATGATGGACTAAGTATCGTGTTGAAACAGACCTTTGAGAGTTTCCTGGATACCAGAGCTCAGCCTGTAAGCCTTGAGCTCATCACAAGTGTGTTTTCCTCTCTGTTCAGCCGGCGATGGTGCTGCCGTCAGGTGCAAGTTGATCAGGGTGAGCTCAGACGATCCAATCTGATTACAGAGAAAAGTGGGTGAGATAAATCATTCAAATGATCATTACCTGAGATGTGTTTAGTTCAATCTCGTTTTGAAAAACCCATATTTTATCAAAAATACAGAAAAAAAACTTTAATGTTAAATATAATTTCAATTTAAAATATGTTTTTCAAATTTAATATATTCTAAAACTTCATTTTTTGAATTTTGGCAAATTTGTCATCATCAGTGTCACATGATCCTTCAGATATCACTGTTGCACAAGAAAACAGTTGTGCTTATTAATATTTTTGTTGAAACAATGATGGATTATTGATGAATATAAAGTTGAAAAACATTTAGAATAAAATTAATTTAATTTTATTCAAAATGAATAATTTTAATTTCCATTATTTATTTTTTTATTCAAAAAATTAATAATATTAATTTCCATTAAAATAAATTATTGACCACAGACGTTTCTATATCTATAGCTACCGTAAACTAACTGCATTAAACAAATTGCTTGGTAACACTAACAGATAAAGCTTTATTCCAGGTTTACTTACATAAAAATGTCCCAGGTATGGCCGAGGATGAGGATGCTTCCCATTACCATTAGTCGCAGAATTTTCCAAGACAGTGGCATCCTTCATTTCAATCCCAGAAGAGCTGTCCCACAGGAAACCAGAGTACTCGGTAACCTGCAAGATTACAGCAAAACCATAATGACCAGGATCTGCCAAGTAACATTTATAACCCAACAACCATACTCATTATTAAAGAGGTATTAAAGAGAAAATGCATTTTAATCATGACAACTCAGTCTCAGAATAGTTTTAGCAGCATTTTATTAAATATATCATCGGTCAAGCAAGAATTGATTACACAGACGCACTTTGTGAGCTTGTAAGATATGCTGTTGCTGCATAAATAGACTTACATCAATCCTATAGCAGATCTATGCAAGTGGAACTGGGGGAGGTGGAAGGTTAATCTGATACATTGATTAATTTAAATGTTAAGTAAGCAATCAGATTGGCTGCAGGACCAGCAGAGGCCAATCAGCTTGTGACATGCGGTAATGATGTGATGGCTTGCATATTGCATGTAAAGTCCCTATCCCTAGGGTTTCATCATGACTGACTAAATACAACTCTTGCACTTTATTTCAAGTTTTCTGAAGTCATATGATAGCTTTGAGTGAGGGAAAGGCTGAAATGTAAAAGTATGAAAAAGCACAGCCAAGTCATTTTGCTAAATATCTTCTTTTGTATTATTATTATTACTCACAAATTTACAGGTTTGAGGTAAATGGCAGAATTTTGGCGGAGTTTTAGAATTTTCTACAACTAAAACTATTCAAACGTTTTCGTTCATTAAAAAAAAAGCTGAAATAAAATATTAACAATAAACTATAGAGTAAAAACGAATAAAAATGACAAAACACTTCAATTACAATGAATACTGAAAAAAAGCCAATTCAAAATATAAATTAACACTATAATAACACTGGTCCATTACCCTTTATAACAATGGCTGCAGCGTAGGACAAGTGAAGTGTATCTTTGCGACTCCATATTTGCATAGATAAAGAGTGTATGAATTGTGCATGTGAGCTGTGTGTTTAACTAAAGGCCACTGTATCATCATGACTGGAGTGTGTTAGGTTGGTTTAACAGCCTTTGTGCCTGATGTCCAATTTATATGCACAGAGGAAGCACAGCTAAGCGATCAGGGGAAACATCACAACACGTCTCGATTGAAAGTGTCTTCAGGTGTGGCTTTAAAAGAGTTTGTGTTGAACGTGGATGGTGATTGTACTTATTGAGGTGCAAATGAGAACCAGGATTATTATTAGAAAACTCCTAATGTGAAATGTAAAAGACATTTTCTCTCTCTAAAAGCACACTGCATTAATCATATGTCACACTTAGCTCCACTATAGGAAAAAATCTGGTCTAATACATCATACAGCACATAATATTTACAGTAATGCTCCATGATGAAGAGCAGACCTCTGTAAGTCAAGAATGTACATTTCTCCTGTGTTTATATCTGCCACATGTCACCGGTAAGATGTTTCCTGTGTGGGTAAACAGCGCTATCCAGAGAACATCTTGTGTTCGTCCAGACACCTCTAGACATGGCCAAGGTCTTTAACTATTGTGTAAGGCTTTTATTTTGAACAAATTCATCTTCTTGATCCTTACAGTTCATGTTTTCTCTAAAACTGCATTTTATTTGATTTATTCATTGAATCATTTACCTGTTTAAAGGCAAGACCACTGTTTTGCATGCACTAGTCAATTTTAAGATTTCGGTCTTTTTGCCCACCTTGTAATCTTCAGACTAGTATTTTATTACACTATTTCCATCTGTAGATTTTTAATGTTTTTTTTTTCTTATTTGTTAAGCCCAAAATCTCCACTTCAGTAGCACACTCTCTAAAAACATTGTGATTATGTTTACTGCCTGTTGATGGTATTTTCGGATTTATAGAGTGATAAAAAGAGATATCCAAAATCCCCTTTGTAAAAACTTAGAACTCTACTATGTCAATAAAACCTGGCTTTATCCATTGTTCAGATTTCTGTTTAGGAAATGTATGCAAATGTATACTCAAATATTTAACCCTCGGATGGTCCTTGGTCACTTCTGACCGAATAATTTTTTGTTTTGAATTACTAAAAATCACAGCTTCATCGGAAGGTTATGATACTTGGTGATTTTTTGGCAATTGGTATGTGAACACAAAAAAAATTGAGGTCATGATCCGAGCATGCTAAGTGGTCGTAAAAAAAAAATAGTCACACTCGTGGTCTTCGGTCTTCAGAAATGACCGACCCATAGGAAATGAATGGGAAATTGACAAAAACACAAAAATTCACAATTTATTTATGTATTTTTTTACAATTTTTTAATTAAGAAATAGTTTTTGAGATTGTTTCAATTATATATTCAAATCCACCAAAAAAAAAAAAGTGTTCATAAACAGCTGGGAAATTCACATGCCTCTCTATAGAGAGCTGTACATGCCATCTAGTGGTTACACCATGATTCTACGCTTTTTCTCTATACTGTAACCAGATGGTGCTAATTTTCTTCAAAAAAAATTTTTTTTCTAAAGGCCTAGACTTTATATTAATAAAAAATACTGCATTAATAATTAAAAAAAAAAAAAAAAAATATATATATATATATATATATATACATATATATATATATATATATATATATAGAAAAAAATATATATATTTCCACTGGAAAAAATAGACCATAAATATTGCATAAATATTAAGAAATTCAATCAAATTGTCTCAAAATACTAAAATTGAAAAGAATAAATATTATTGAACAAAAATAAAATTGCATTGGTTTACTGGAATGGAAGAAGTTTCATTTTTAGGCCTCCGGTCACTTCTGACCAGGAAGGCACAGGACGTGACTCATAAAGGAAGACCATCAGAGGGTTAAAGGTTAGTTCACCCAAAAAAAAATCAAAACTCTCATTAATTACTCAGTGGACAGCTTTCTGTGATGTAACAGAAGATATTTGCTAGTTGGTAAACATTTTAGACCCCATAGAATTTAACCCTGAACATTTTTAACGTTTGCATACATGTGAATATATATATATATATGTGCTACAGTGGTCTAAACTTACATTATTGGACTGTCCAGTGGGACAGTCTGAAACGGCACATTTCCACAGGCCTCTGGCACTCTTCCACTTGCGTACGCTGCAGAGAGTGGGCTGATTCAGCTCTGCACAAAACTGACACAAACAAACACAAAGCACAGCTGATTAGCAGTGAAAAATGAAAAAAGTATTACACTTCCTTTTGGGGATGCCCCCTGTAAGCAGGAATTGTTTAGTCTGATGTTGTTTGCTTTTCGAAGAGTTTAGGGTCATCTTTCCTATTAAAACACAGTGCCTTTAATGGAGATACAACTTTCCTCAAAGCATCTGTAAGTTTGCAGATAAACCTCAGAACTTTCTAGCAAATAAAACCTGGCCTTTACCTACTGAAGAGTACAGTACGTGCTCACTGGAGCTGGGAAATCTGATAACTACATGTGTCATTCCCATTACCTCAGTTAGGTCCTATTATTAACCAGGAGCAGCAGGGGAGAGTTTCCTGCAAAGTACCAGGGGACAGAACCAGAAGTTCAACAGAAGCTGTGCGGTCATCAGCTGATCTGTAAAGAGCTCTTGAGGAATGTGGACAGGACAGGGACATAAAGAACTACGTCCAACTCAGAACTAAAGCGAGACCACAAGTCAAGTATATTTATATAGCGCTTTCCATCAAAGCAGCTTCACAGTATCAATCAAAACATAATAACAATGTTCGTTTCTTAGTGGAAAAACATAGCTAGCAATATCTGTAGCAAGATGATGATTTTTGTGTCCTAAAACTGGGATACTGGTTTCAACAAAAAAATAAAAAATATGTCAGCAAAGGAAATTGGGTTTTAATCTACTACTTTCTGCTCAAAGTTTAAAAAAAAAAGTGAGAAATCAATTAAATTTAAGATAATATCCTGTTTTTTAAAGTCATATTATTAATTAGAAGTGTCAGGATTTCATGAATATGATTTAGGGAATGATGGAGCTCCAGACGTTGCCTAAACAGTGTTGATTTCAGACTAAACAGGAGTGCAGAAAGACATTCAGAGCGCGATGTCATTTCATTCTGAGCCAAAAGTCAAATAAGCATGCCTTCCCATCTCGGTCTGTCCAGTCAGCACTTGCAAAAGCAGCGCGGAGGAAAGAACGGCACTTCGGGTTCACTGCGGCATAACACCAGCAGACGGTAGCGCTGTTAAAATCAGTCATTCACGGCCCGTATGACTCCCAGTTACACAGTAATGACATCAAGAATTAACTCAAGGAGAAGGAACCAACCTAAAGACTGCAAATTGAGTAAGTAAGCTCGTTCATTACCAGACACGTTTATCCAATGGATTCTACAGTACAATCTATAAAAACTTGTGGTTGCCAGATTTGTATTGTTAACTGAAATAATGATGCTAATATACAAAGACTAAAATCAGTTTTTAAAAAAAAAAAAGAAAGTCACATGATGAATCAAAGTTCAATGTTCGTCATAAGTAGCTTTTTCGAGGTAAATACATGCTTTCACAGTGTATCATACACATAAATACGAAACACTACCATGGCAACACTAAAATAAAGCAAATTTAGTTTAATAAGATGACTTGGTTCTTTTCCACTTCCAAAAACTGTACATTTAACAGTGATTTACTGTAAAAAAATACTAGAAATGTCCCATCAGATCTATTAGTTTTTTATTTAGATTAAGGGAACTTACCATGAACCAATTTTTACCAAATTTGTCTTTTATCATCACAACAATTGAGCGATTAAATTACTGCGCATTTCCATGAAGTTGACCTCAAAGCTAAAGGTCACTGATGTTGACTTCAACCACCCACTCATATTGAAAAAGAATTATTTCAGGTGACGCTGTCATCGATAATCGTTGTCAGTGTGTATGCCGCCGCTCAGTGTTGGGTGTAACTAATTACTAAGCAATTAGTTACTGTAATTTAATTACTTTTCCATTGAAAATGTGAAGTAAGGGATTACTCTTCATTTATCTGTAATTAAATTACAGTTACTTCTGATGTAATTGAGGTAAATACTGTGTCCGATCTCACAGCGATTCGTATGCATTTTATGAGGTGTCTAAATAGTACGACCGCACTCGTACAAATTCGTATGAATTATTGTAAAATATGTGTGAAAATAGTGTGAAATGTCATGAGATCAGAAATAAAACAATAGTGGGTTTAACATCAAAATATATTGTCTGATGTTAAAAAGTATGTTTTTATAATGTAACTTTCTCCACCGTGGTCAGTTTAAGGATAATTCATACAATTTTATAGTATTTATTTGAAAGAATTAAAACAGATTCATGTCTATCTGGTTGAGATTGATATGGGATTTTGACAGTAATTAGTAATTAAAAGTAATTAAATACTTTTTAGAGAGAGTAATTAGTACAGTAATCTAATTACACAGTTGAAGAGGTAATTAGTAACTAGTAATTCATTACTTTTTTAGAGTAACTTACCCAACACTGATGCCGCTTCACATGAATATTTAGCCTGGACCTCAAGGGCGCAATGGTGATCAGGTCATTGCTCACACACTGCTGCTGGGATTGAACCAGCAACCTTCCAATCCAGCGCAGTCTCATCCCAAAACGTCATATAACTGACGTCTTGGGACGTCTTTTGACCATACGTCAACATCCGCCGTTTTAGGGTAACCCTTTAACGTCGGTTAGATGACGTTATTGGATCCTAACCCTACCCCAGACCTAAACCTACCCCTACACCTAACTGACGTTAAAGGTAAAGCGTCAGTTGTATGACGTCCCAGGATTGTCATGTAACTGACGTTTAAGGGTACCCTAAAACGGCGGATGTTGACGTATGGTCAAAAGACTGACGTCTTGGGATGAGACTGTGTTATCCAATCACCAGCCCTGAGCTTCCCATTATGCCACACCAAATAAACATGATGTGTCCAAGAAAGACAAGTAGGAGAGTAAGAACATCAAGTCTGCAGTGAAAGAGGATATGGGAGAAGTATTGGTTGACTTTGCCCTTGTTCTCTCACTGACAAACTGCTGGCCTGCTAACCTACTTTACTGGTCTATTCCCAGCATCAAACACAGCAGAGAAGACCTCAAACATAGCTATTTGAGCTATTTGAGTACATGGTCATGCTTGTCTTTTCGAAAATTTAACAAAAAACCACATAAACATTGGATGTTAGACCAATATGATTTTCTGTACTTTTTTTGAAAGTGCTTCATGTGAGGGGACAGATCCTGAGATCCATTTTGGTGTGATTTGCTTGTCACAAAAAAAAAAAAAAAAAAAAAAAAAAAAAAAAAAAAAATCATAATGTAGTTCATCCCCAGGAATTCCACAGTTAAACAACTTATTTTTTAAGTAAATGAAATGATGTGGGCTGATAGCTTCAACAAAATCTTATACGCAAGTGATATCCAGCCAGTTCATCGAGTCTCGAATCTCCCTGAAGGGGTTTATTTTGCAATAACAACCAGTTAGATGGACATTATCCCGCTTATTACATGGCATAAATGACCTTGGAATGTTGTGATAAAAGGGAGAGGTGTGTGTGTTGTCTGTTCATTTGTAACACTACCTTGTCTAGAGCCTCCCGATCGGCCAAGTCTTGAACCGCTAGCAGGTTAATGCTGGAGAGAGGGAGAGAAAAACAGGGCATGTGAGACCACTAGTATATCAACATAATTGAATATTTAGTCAAACAAATTAACAATAAGAATAGATTGCATCTACAAACAGATCAATAACGTCTTCAGCTGCCAGGATAGCACTTTTACCTCCTGCTTTGCTTTGGACCTCTTCAGCATAAATTATATATCTTGCAAACACAAGAACAAACTCAAGGTGACGGCAGTGGAGGTAATGACACTGCAGAGTTGATGTTTACGGCCCTAATAACCACTGAGCCGTTTGTTTTCGGAGGAAATTCTCAAACAGCAGACGGTTCTTCCAGTAATAATGACTCAAACACACAAGTAAAAATGTCAAAGATGTGTTTAATCTTTTCATTAAACAAGTGTTGGAAGTTTAAGATTTGTCACACATGAAGACATTCGAAATTGGAGGGGACAGAAGTAAAATTGTGAGAATCAGTGAGAACGTCAGGTTTTAAAAAAAATAAAAAATTATTTTATTTATTTTTTGTGCCATATGGATTAAACAGCACTTTCAGGACAAACTTTGGCTTGGCACTTTTGTTCTATTTTTACCAATAATGTTATAATACTGTTCCAATTGCAACTTATGCAGTCAGCATAAGATGTATTTCTGTATCACCATATGGACATTTTTTAAGGCCAAAACCCAGAAATAAGTTGCATTTTAGCACGTTTTATTCTACGGCATAATATACATCAGTAATACTGCCTTGATTTTTTATCTGAGAACGTGCCCAGGACAGTGTCATTTAAGTATTAATTATGTACTATTTAGTTTTAGTTTATTTCTTTATTTGATCAGGGACAATGCACAGAAAACATTAGTCTAAAAATGAAGAGATGTCATGTGGTGTCAGGTTTACATTAATTTTAGGTCTTTTTTTATTTAATTTATTTTTATTACAGTTTTAGTTTAGTTCCTTTATTATTATCATAATTCCCACTCCATTCACTTTAACTGCGTTGCCTAGCACTCATGAATATTCATGAGCAGATGGCAGGACCGACTGGAATTCGGCTCATGGTGGATATACCCAAGATTCAGGCACGCACACACGATTCAGGTCCACTGACACTGACACAATATGAATGACGTGCTGGTCAAATTTATAAGACATTAACATTCATTGTCCGTTTTAGTCCAACGGATATAACTGAAGTGCGTAACTTCATTTAGACCTCTTCTGAGGTCCCTGTCTCTCTCTAGAGGGATGTACAGTATATCTACACTGGAGCCATTTAAAGGGATAGTTGACTTTGAAATTAATTTTTGATATGTTTTAGCTTACCTCAAGGGCATCCAAGATGTAGGTGTCTTTGTTTCCACAGTATTTTCAATTTTGACATTTTTTCGGTCAAACCGTTGTTGTCTGTCAGTCCTATAATGGAGGTTTAGGGGGTGCACCTCAAAGAGCATGCACAGAGAAGTCCAAATTAAACACGATTTAATGACTCGTAAATGTAAGTACACACTGATGGTCGAACTGATCTCAATCAGATGTCCAACTGAACCGTCTCCAGACGTTACGCCGGAAGTGATCTCTCCGTCATGCATTGTTTACACGGAGATTTCGGAAGTTTTACTTTTCACTGAACATATTTAGATATATCAAATCGTCTTTCATTGTGATTTCCCGTCGGCTGTTAACAAGAGGTAAAAACTATATAAATACTGTTCGTTTTCTCACACAAACCGCTCATTTCGTGTCTTAGGTCATCAGTGTGTACTTACATTCACGAGGTTCGGAACTGGTGCTGGTTCAAAGTTGGTTCAACTTGCGAACCGCTTCAGAACCTATTTGTTTTTCCACTGACTAGAGCGCCCAGGGAACGACGTCGTTACGTCACTGTGTACGTCACCATACGTCTTAGCTAGAAACGCTTGCAAATACAACATTACTTTCGGATTATCTCTAACTCGTGTACCAAGAAAGCTTTAAAAACAATTGAAATATCTAAGTCTTTTAATCTTTTCGTTTGATATGTAATTTTTTCTGATAAATTATGTACCCCTGTAATTGTGTCTTTTTTTCTTTCCATTTATTTGTTCTATATTGTGATTTTTCTTCTTTGCTTATAATGTCTTCAATAAAAAAATTACAAAAATAGAAACGCTTGCGTTAACGCAAGCAGAACAATTACAAAGGCGGACTCCATCGTGTTTCTTCAAATGTTTCTCTTGGCTTTGCGATCCTTTATTATGGTCCGAAAAGATATTTAGGACACATCTAAACCCGCTCCAGCCCCCAACGTAAGCATGACGTGGTAAAAGAACGGTTCTAGTCCAGCAAAGAGTTGGTGCCGCTTTGGAACCAGTTCTCCTGGCCGAGAACCGGTTCTTTGGCTGTCGAAACACAAAGAACTGGTTCGCGCGCAGACATCGACTCCGAACCGGCTCTCAAAATGCTTTGGTGGAAAAGGGGCTTGTGCATGCTCTTTGAGGTGGACCCCCATATGTGCATTATATGATTGACAGACAACACCGGTTTGACCAAACAATGTCAAAATTGAAAATACTGTAGAAACAAAGACACCTACATCTTGGATGCCCTTGAGGGAAGCTAAAACATACCAAAAATTAATTTCAAAGTGAACTATCCCTTTAATTTCAAATTGGAGCCACAAAATTGACATGAACTAGAAGAGCTCAGAGGCCAACTATAAACACAAATCAATGATACTGTACTGTACTGTACTGTCAGGAGGCACAGAGCAGGCTTGCAGGCTTTCCCAGAGTTCACTGCATTCACTGTGACAGCGATTCACTATCAAATACAAGTGCAACATTTATCCTAAAGCTGAAGTGTTTTATTTTTTCGATGTTAAAACCCTGCTCCAATCGCAACGTATGCAGTCAAGGTCTGTGGTCATCTAAATAAGGTCTGTGGTTATCACAAGTTAAAAATATATAACGTTTTATTTAATGGCATGAAATACATCAGTAATCCCGCCTTGTGATTTTTTTACAATCTAAAACCTCATTCAGTTATACACAAATATGGACGTGTACATTCAAGCAATTCATACTTTAAGTGAGCTTAAACATATTGCTCTTTTACAGCAGATTTAGTTCAAATAGAAACTGACAGTTGTGACCTAAATGATTTTCATTTACAAATAGTATCAGTAACTTACTTTTCATTGAGACTCACTCTCAACACATAATTGAATCAAGTGAGTTGTTGAAAAGAGAAACAGAAAAAATTAAGCAATACGGCAAGAGAGAGCCCATCTATATTTTCCAGCCAATGCTGGAGCTAATAACTCAGATCCTGTTTTGAGAACAAACAGTTTGACAGACAACACCCAGTTCCCTCATAGGTGAGCACACGGTGTGTGTTTCTGTGTGTGTGTGTGTGTTTTGCTATCCCGGTGGGGATTTAATGCACACAGACTCGAAGTTTTCTGTGATGGGTAGGTTTAGTGTTAGTTGAAGTGTCAATGGAAAGTCCCTACAAAGATAGCAAATCAGACATGTGTGTGTGTTTGTTCATTTGATATTTATGCGTGTTATAAAAACTATGATCTTTTCAAACCTTGACCAGTTATCAAAACTCAGATCAATAAACTTAAACTTTGATAACAAAGCAGCTGCTCACTCATAAAATAATAATAATAAAATCTCACAAATCTCAAAAACATTGATGGACATTAAGCAGTAAAATGATTATATAACAACATTTTTAATGATCATGAATGATCATGTGTACAAGGCATAAACTTTTTTTTTTTTTGCGATCTATATGACTGATTGCGGAGGGAGTGAATGCCTACAGTATGAATTAAAAAAAAAGTTTGAAAGCATTGTTTCTCATTTCACAAATTCACATGCAAAGAAGGTGTTTACATAGAAGCAAAACTCATTCGATTCAAAAGGTCTGAGAGTGGGTGGCTCATGGTCATGTAAAACTACTCGGATTCTTATTTAAATTAAAATGAAAAGAATGTTCTATTGTAGAATCAATGATGCAGTCACAGTTCTGAGCAGTGTTATTATTGCTAAAAAAAAAAAAAAAAACAAGTAAAATGTAATTTAATTAAATATTTATACATATATTTATAAACAAATACGTAAAAATCAGAACTGTTGCTTTTGGTGAATAAAATTTAATTTCTTAAAAAGTTGAAGTGCTAAAACTGTCAAACGAAAAATGTATAAATGAATGAAAAAACTAAAAATAATTACAAATTATTAAAAAAAAAAAAAAATACTAAAATGTAACAAACTTATTTTTTTAAATACATATAATTACCCTAAAACGGTATTCTGGACAAATGTGGGCAAAATAGTTTTGATTTATTTTTTAAAAATACTTCCCTTGATCTGAGCAGTACAAGACTTGGCTACTTTTCCTAAGTTTGCCTCCTGAACACACACACATTTTTTTTTTTGACTCAATTCTACAATGTTAAGTCGGTGAAAAAAAAAAACCCTCCTTAATCTTGTATTTGGGCCAAAAATGGGCACCCATAGAAATGAATGGGAAAAACTGTAATTTAGAGCATTCTAAAATAAGCCAAAATAAGACATCTTTAGGTTTTAGCTCTAAGAACTTATTGGAATGATAATTTAATGTAGTTAAAAAATAAAACACAAAAATAAGCATAATTTACATAGAAAATATGGGACTTTTTAAAGTAAATAAATTCAAAAATACCCCCAAAATAAAAAACAAACACCATAAATGGATAGACAAAACTTTATCGAAGACAGTGATATAACATTTATAATAAATAAAAATTAGGATCACACCAGAGTCCTCTGTGCCCACATTTGTCCACAATTACAGGATTAAGGGCTAGTAAATGAAACTGGTTCTGAGCTTGTCTTGTTCTGTTTTCTTGACTCTTTATTTACATATATTACCAAATTAGCATATTTTCACATGAGCAAACATCACTGTTTTTCAAATCTTTGCATGTTATAGACGGGGTCAAAGGTTACCTATGGTTGTGCAGCAGCCTGGCCCTAA